AGGTGTGGCTTGCGTGCTCTGGATATTCTCTTTTTGTTAAATATTCCCTGATATCATGGTACCATGGATTCCCATCTGTTTCTTCTTCAACATGAGCACAGTAAGCCGGTTGATTACGGATTCTTACCGGAATGGGGTCGATGAAGTTCTTTTTTGGGTGTTGTATCATAGAGGACAAAGTGGCCAATGCATCTGCGAAATCATTCTGGATTCTCGGGACATGTCTAAACTCTATCTTCGTGAACCTCTTCATCATCTCTTGCACATGATATAGATATGGTAATATCTTGGTATTCTTTGTAGCCCATTCTCCCTGCACCTGATGTACCAGTAAATCTGAATCGCCAATTACCAGTAATTCCTGGATATTCATGGCAATGGCCAAATTGAACCCCAATATGCAAGCCTCATATTCTGCCATATTATTGGTGCACGAAAATCTGAGTTTCACAGATACCGGATAATGTTGACCTGTTTCTGACACCAAAATGACTCCAATACCCACTCCTTTGAAGTTTGCAGCTCCATCAAAAAACATTCTCCACCCGTCATAGGATTCAGAGATATCTTCTCCTACGAATGATACTTCTTCATCAGGAAAATACATTTTTAGTGGTTCGTATTCTCCTCCTACAAGATTTTCCGCAAGATGATCCGCTAATGCTTGTCCCTTAACTGCCTTCTGAGTCACATAGACAATGTCGAATTCACTCAACAATATCTGCCATTTTGCCAGCTTCCCTATAGGCATGGGTTTCTGGAAGATGTACTTCAGAGGGTCCATCCTTGATATGAGATATGTGGTATAGGCACAGAAGTAGTGCCTCAGTTTCTGGGCTATCCAGGTCAAAGCACAGCATGTGCATTCCAGCAAATAATACTGTGCTTCGTAGGGTGTGAACTTCTTACTCAAATAGTATATGGCATGTTCTTTCCTTCCTGTCTCATCGTGTTGTCCCAAGACACAACCGAAAGCCCCATCTAATACGTAGAGATAGAGTAGAAGTGGTCTACCAGGTTCTGGCAGGACCAGGACTGGCGGTGTGGACAAATATTCTTTGATTCTGTCATAATATTTCTGGCAGTCTTTAGTCCAATTGGTTGCGACATCTTTCTTTAACATTTTGAAAATCGGCTCACAGATCACGGTTGATTATGCTATGAAGCAGCTGATGTAATTAAGACATCCCAAGAAGCTCATCACGTCTTTCTTATTCTTTGGAGTCGGCAAATCCTGGATAGTCTTGACCTTTGATGGGTCTAGCTCAATTCCTCGGTGGCTGACGATGAACCCTGATGTGTGATCTGTACTCCTCTTGGATTTGATGATGACATCATCCACATATACCTCTATCTCCTTGTGTATCATGTCATGGAAAATAATTGTCATGGCCCTCATATAAGTGGCCCTAGCATTCCTCAGACCGAACAACATCATTTTATAGCAGTACACCCCAATGGTGTGATAAAAGTCATCTTTTCTGCATCTTCTTCATCCATCCAGATCTGATGACATCCCGCGAAGCAATTCACAAAGGATTGGAGTTCATGCTTGGCGCAATTGTTGATAGGTATGTGTATGTTGGGTAACGGGAAACCATCTTTGGGACTTGCTCTGTTTAGGTCCCGATAATCGACGCATACTCTGACTTTCCCATCCTTCTTCGGAACTAGCACGATGTTAGCCAACCAAGTTGGATATTCAACCACTCTGAGTACCTTAGCTTTGATCTGTTTGGTGACTTCTTCTTTGATTTTCAAACTAATATCTGGCTTGAACTTTCTGAGCTTCTGCTTTATTGGCGGACACATTAGGTTGGTAAGTAGTTTATGAGCCACTATGGACGTGCTAAAACTGGTTATATCATCATAGGACCATGTAAAGATATCCTCATATTCCTTTAGGAAACGAGTGTATTCTTCTTTCTCCGATGGTGACGAGTGAATGCTTACACGTGTTTCCTTGACTGTTTCGGAGTCTCCTAGATTAACTATTTCAGTCTCGTCCAAATTGGACTTAGGCTTGTTTTCAAAGTTTTCCACTTCTTTCCTCGGGCATTACATCCCCTTCTAGATCCTCTGAATCATTATCCTTATGTTGCGTTGTCTTATTACATGTCACAGTCGTAAGTTCATCGGGGTAGGTAATAATAATGCTGTAGAAAAAAATGTAAAGAATAATAATAAATACTAAAAACATCAATGCATTTAGATAAATCTTGAAAACGTCAAACAGGTGCGGCTCGATGACCCGAGCAATTATTTCAAAACAAAACAAGCTTAAAACAAAATGCTGAAAACGTCTTAAATGCTCATAAAAATTGCTTTTAAAAATAAATGATGCTAATTGCCAGGCTACCCAGGAACTCGATGGGCCCTTGATGGTGCAGCAGTCCAGTTCTTAAGAACAACTCCCTTCTCCAAGATCTGAATAATGAGGCCTTCCTCCTCTTCCTCCTCAACTATCGCACTGAAATCCATGTCTTCATCATCTAGAAAGAGATTCCTTATACCGTCTAGAAATTCATCTTCTTCGGACTTCCACATCATGTCAGCTTGGTGAAATGATTGGCTCAAATATGGTACTGGTTGCTCTAGAGGGTAATAAGGACCACGCCATGGTGGCGACCAATTCTGATACTCGTGCCAAGTGTATTCATACCCAAGCCCAAAAGTTGTGCCGTGATGCTTTAGCTATATTATTTTGGTGATCCCCTAGAGATTCTTGCCGAGACCTTTGCCAGGCTTATAACCTGTCCATGCCAATATGCCTTCTATCTTAATGCTCCATCATTTGTCCTTTTCAATTGTGTTGATGAACTCGATGCGATGGTATGTTTCTCTACCTAACTTCCTTCTATTCTCGATGACCGGAACAGTTTGACTGGTGTAAATAGGATTACTTCCGTCCCTATGGATGATCACTTCCTGATGGTTCCACTCAAACTTCACGACCTGATGTAGAGTAGAATCTATGGCGCCAACGGCATGTATCCAAGGTCGTCCCAATAATAGGTTGTAGGTAGCAGATATGTCCAACACTTGAAACTCAACATCAAACCAGGTTGGGCCCATCTGTAGGCTGAGGTTGGTTTCCCCAATTGTGGCCCTTTGAGACCCATAAAATGATTTCACATTCATACTTCCTGCTCGTATCTCGTGCAGGCTTTTACCCAATCTTTTCAAAGTAGTTAGTGGACATATGTTATGAAACCATTTCAAACAATATGCACATAGCCAGCATGTTATATATCAACAAAAAAACTAGTAGTAAGAAAATAGAGGGTATCAGACACCAATTGGGTTTTGTCGATTTGTCATTCAAGTGAACAGTTTTACGGCTACTCTTCTTGCCACTAAATGCAAACGCACAAAGAAATCTCGCAAACTAAGTGAGAAAATTTTCAAGAGAACAATTATATTTTTTGTTGATGATGCGATAGTACTTAAAAAAATTCATCGAATATGTTTATCCCCATCTAACATTCATACAACAGGCTGATTAGAGCACAATTCAATAGCCAGGTTACAATTCAAATTGCAGTGTTACACGTTCAAATTTTTGCTCATCGTTAATCCTAGTCAGCTAGGCATTCCCCACTCTGTTAAAACATTGATCATGTTAATCGGGGGATTTGCAGTTGTACCCTATATTTGTGCCACATTTTAACCTGTACCCTATTTTTAAAAATTATTGATTTAGTAGCCAGTTGACAAAAAATCCGTAATAATATGACAATTACACCCCTGATAGTATTAGCATTGGCATGCTACTTTGGAGATGACCTCATTCGCATTAGCATACTGTAAAACAAGCCCTGATAAACGTAGCAGCATGCTAACGTTTGGAGATGACGTCGTTTTATTCATTAGCATGCGAGATGGTATAAAACTTCAGCCAATTACAGTAGCAGCTGAAGTTGTTTTACATTGAAGCTAAAACTTCATGTTAATACATGCTGAAGTTATTTATCCTACGGTCAATAGTTTTGTCATGAGTTTTATCCAAAACTTCAGTCTAAACATGCTGAAGTTATTTAGTTCATTTGCTAAAACTTCAGTTTAAACATGCTGAAGTTATTTAGTTCATTTGCGAAAACTTCAGACTAAACATGCTTAAATTTTTGTCTTGCAATATATAATTTTCTAATGAGTTTTTGCTAATGCATGCTGAAGTTATTTAGTTCATTTGCTAAAACTTCAGACTAAACGTGCTTAAGTTATTTAGTTCATTTGCTAAAATTTCAAACTAAACGTGCTTAAGTTATTTAGTTCATTTGCTAAAATTCAGACTAAACATGCTGAAGTTATTTAGTTCATTTGCTAAAATTCAGACTAAACATGCTGAAGTTATTTAGTTCATTTGCGAAGACTAAACATGCTTAAGTTTTTGTCTTGCAATATGTAATTTTCTAATGAGTTTTTGCTAATGCATGCTAAATTTATTTAGTTCATTTGCTAAAACTTCAGACTAAACATGCTTAAGTTATTTAGTTCATTTGCTAAAACTTCAGACTTATCATGCTTAAGTAATTTAGTTCATTTGCTAAAACTTCAGACTAAACATGCTTAATTTACTTAGTTCATTTGCTAAAACTTCATGCCAAAACATGCTGAAGTGTTGTCCTGCAGTCTACAGTTTTGTCAATAGTCCTGAAGGGCAAAATCGTCTTTTTAAAATGCTTTTAACAAAAAAATGGGTACGGATACAAACGAAAAAACAAAACGGGTATAAGTTAAAAGGGGACGATCAAATAGGGCGCCCCATGCAATTTTTACACTACCAAGTACTCTTTTTAACTTTTACCAAAAGAATTCGGAACACCTACTATTTATTTGCACGCTATTTGGAGTAGGTAGACTCATGGGCCTCTTAAAAGAAATTGTAGGCCATACAAAGAGGACAGAAATGGTGGTGACCAGAACCCGTTGGTTGTAATTGTTTGCCATTAGTAGGCCTCACTACGTAATAGCCCGACAATACTTTTATGCAGCAAATATTCTGTAGAACCCAAAACAGATAGCACAGCAGTTATGATAAAGATTTCTTTCGACTAACCTTTCATATTAGCTAAAACAGAATATGACCACCAATGGGTGTGTGACTGTGTGAGATAGATGAGATTCATCCACTCTTTATCACAAGTCTCGGGCTCGAGTACTCGAAATGGAAAAACTCCTGATATGAAGCACTTTCATCTTTAATGGGCCCTATAAAATGCAAATCCGCAATAGTCGGACCAGCAGGTTCCAAATACCATATGGTTATTCCCCAAAAAAGAAAAATAAACCAGAGCATGTTTTAAGTGTCTATACAGTGACAAAAACGTTTTTCTAGTACTGTTTTCCATGACAAATTTATCAGTAGGGAGAAAGGTTCTTCACCTTTATCACTTTGCATCGTTCCACTCCGTCAGAAATTGATGCTTTCTGATTGCTACAGCTTTCTAGCAAGTAAAATATCCAAGTGAAATGTCCTGATATTACATTAATTCAGGAAGACATCTGCACATTTGACTCCTACATCACTGTGCTGCTATCCACTTCCTCACGTTGATATAAAATTTCAATAGAGTTTTCCCATTTCAGTGATAATTCACAACCCACCCAACTTACTCCACAGGTTAGTAATGGTTATATAGTTGTCCATTAAACAATGGCCTTCGGACACTGAGTTTTATCCTGCAGTTCAGTGATCAACCATCAGTAATAAGAAAACAATTTTGAAAAAGCAAATCAGATCAGATCAGTTAAGTTTGGCGAGTTAGATATGAAAGAAAACGTTTTCCGTGAACAATGTTCTATCGGAAAATATTTTCCAGAAGAAAAGTGGTTGTCCCACTTTCTAGTATTTGGTTGGTAAGTTGAAATCCAGAAAATATTTATTAAAGATGGATGATAATGTCAGCAAATTGAATACTATCTTGATGAAATTATTGAGTATAAAGATTGATATGGAGTTATAAATATTTGTAAAAGAAAATGCAAAGGGAGGGAGTCAACTTTCCCCCTTTTGATAGAAAATATTCTTGTAACCAAATACTAAAAATGACTTCTTCATAAGAAAATATTTTCCATGAAATTGTTCTGAGTCATACCAAATATGCATGTACAGTTTCATCGTTTTAGAGTTTAGACTAAACACATCAATTAGCGTTTCAAAAGCACGTAGATTCAACGATTTAAAATTTAGACCAGACAATAAGCGCTTCAAAATATAAAATAGACCACACCAATTTGAAAGACTTGACTGTGATAATATGCAACTTTATTAACAAAAAATGTGAGGAAGGAAGGAAAAGGTTGGAGGAAGTCCAAGCAAAAACAGCTATAGGTACTTAAACATAGAAAGGGATATCTAAGACTTGCATCTTCTTATGCATAAAATGGCAATACAGAGCACAAGAAGATAGAACTAAAAAAACCTATTGGATTCCGTGGTAGTTAATATGTTCTGATGTTAACAATATGAAACATGATACTAAATGAAGTTTGCCTATTTCATGAGCTAAACTATGTACTATGTGAAGATTTCATAAATCAACTGAACCACTATGGTACGAGAAATACTTCGATGGCGTAAATAATGGACTAGTTAACTCAAACATGAGAAGAAAATAAAGAGAGACTAGCACGAAGCATAAGACAAAACATACCAAGTAAGAGCAGTCGACATAAACTTAGAAACAAAGGTTTTCTAGCTAATAAATTTGTATAGCAACTGAAAATTTTGGAATTCTCTCTGGAGGAAGGAGATATGTAACATATTGGTAGCAGAAGTATTTCAATGGCACAACAGTATAAAGTAATTCACTAAAACAGGACAAGTAATTAAGAGAGACTAGCACAACAAGTACTGAAGAGGAAGGGTTGTTCATCAAACTAGGAAAAATGTCAAGTTAGGAACTTGTCAACCTAAAATTACAGACACAGACATACCTCCTAAACATCTTTGTACAGCAACTGAAACTTCGGTATTCTGTCTGGGGGAAGGGGGCAAGTCACTATGAGCTTGCCTTTCATGGCCCCTCTAAATATTGCCTGCTTACAAGTAGGAATGCGAAGCTATTAGAAATGACTCCACAACCATGACTTGTAAAAAAGAAAAATAATCAGAGCGTCCGCTCAGCAGATTCAAAGAAATAGACTGTATCCATCAGGTGTTCAATCAATTGTGAACTAATCGAAAAAGTCAAACACTCTCAAAGAAAATCTCTCTGAAGCTAAAGTCGTTCTCCAATGGTTTAAGTTGATACATAAAATAGTTGCTGGACTCCCAAGAAACACTGCAAATTAGCAGATCATCCTTCAAGATCTCTGCAAGTTAGAAATCTTTACAACCTGGAGACACAGCTGGATTATAACCATCTTTCTTTTATGACCAAGATATCCGTCTGGGGCCAACCCTTAGGACCAATCGCCACCTTCAAAATTCGGGGATAATGGGCCCACCCCTCTACCCTTTTTTTATAAGGTTAATTTTGCCTATTCCGTGGCTCGAACCCAAGGCCACTCCTCTACCCTTCTCCACTTAAATATCAGAATTTGTTCACATGGCACATAGCTCGAACATGTGACCTAAGTCACAAGTCCCTGAACCTTTGCCACTTGAACTAAGCTGCAAGGGCGTTAGATTCAACCAATCTTACCCAGCTATCTTCGACAATTGATGCCTCGAAAGGAGGTGAAGATCCATTCATGATATCCAAATTACAATAAACAGAATAGAAAGAAATCCAAGAATCTCAAAATTTGAGAGTGATATATATGAAGACTTGTGTAGGGACAAAGTATAATTACCTCTATGCAGGTATTAAGACAATGTAAGGATTTTATGAATACAAATTTAATGAACAGATTTTTATGCATTATTAGAAGATCTCCTCCTTGAAAAGAAACTATAGATTTTAACATTTGTTTTCACTTTATGCACACAAAATATGCATCTCGGTGCACCCTTGATGATTTGACAGATCTGGTTGTAGCAGCTTTATAATAATCTTAAGAAGCAATAATGGTTATTTCTAGAGAAAGAATCACAGGAACCTTCTGAGTAAATTATGTAAAAACAACAATTATACAACATATGTATTCATGTCATGCTCGCACATCATTAGAAGGTGATTAAAAGACGCTCTTAAATCCATAGAGAGGAGGTTCTAAACAGCCATGCATTTGAAATTAAGTTGGCACTAGGCAGGAAAAGACAATCCACCACAAAATGAATGAAAACTCTTTGCAGCTTTGATTGATTCAAACTCAAGCTTTCAACCAAAACCCAACATCTTCTCCCTTCCACGTCTTCCAAAACTTGAAGCAAGTTTCATCTTGTTCTAACTTCATGTCTGGAGACATGCAGAGACAAATAGCTGGATAAGCTAATTTTAGACAAACCTCCATACATAAACCTGAAGTTTGAGTCTAGAAGTTAGAAGCTCAAGATATCTTAGCCATTCTTCAAAACCAAATGTACATCACCTTAATTAAAAGCCACAAGAGCAAGGTTAAAATGAAATATACGAACTATTATTCCGCCAAAGTGATTTTATCTTCACTGGCTTTTAGATTCCATCAAAGACATGGCATTGATGGATCAACTTCATGCAGGTATTTCCGGCACACTAGTCACGCAGTATTGGTGGTCGCTATGGTACCGCCATATTTTAGTTTTTAACCGAACACCTTCCTAAGCTTTGTCACCATTAGAACCCATAGAGACTTAAACAACCTAGTTTAGAATGTGCTACTCAAAGATCCTTAAAAGTTAGATAAGCGAGTCGCAAAGATTGAAAAGCTGCACTTTGCAGTAACGGGCAAATAAACTTGATAACTATTTATCTGGATCATAGGAAAACAAATATGCTCCAGAAAGAAAATTGCGAGATCATCCCATACCTCCACCACATCAATGAAGTCTTGTTTCCTTTGAAATGCTCCAACCCACTTGGTGTGATCTGCACTCCTGGAGAACATCCATCACATAAAAGGAAGAGCTTCAATCTCGACAGAGCTCCATATTTAAAATATAGTGAAAAACTACCACATCAAGTGTCTCCAACATATGCATAATACATGTATTCACTTAGTAATTGTTGCAGTCTCCTTATCGAATTCACTATATAAATTAGTCTTGCAGTATGATTATACAATTACCAGACGGAGAGATAAACCCTTTTTTAAAATTAGACCGAGCAAAATTTTCACACTTATGCAGCATAACGTTTGGTAGAGGAAAAAAAAAGAGAACCAAGTAGTGTAAACGTGCCTTGCACATGCTCCAATATCAGACATCCTCTACCAAGGGGAGGAGGCAAGTAGGACGATGTGGCAACTAGATGATTATCTGCAGATATTTGGGCAATAGAATAACACATTCTTTTTCTTTTCTCTTTTCCTTCGAGTAGCCTCGCCTACTCTTTCTTTTTCCTAAAATTATGCCAAACATTCACAGATCTCTCTCCCCCCCTCCACTCAACAGAAAACAGAACAGAAATATGGCTCTTGCAACTTGCAAGTAGCTGCTTGAATTGGGTCAATGTCATTTCACTTTCCCCTGATTGAAGGACCAACGAACTAGTTATCTGAATTGTTGTGGAAAACTTCCAGCATTTGGAACTGGTTTAATTTGCCCACAAAATGTGTCTGATATATGGTCAAGATTATCGGTTACAGTCTTATAAGGACTAAAAATATGTCGTGCTCCCAAAGCTCCACAGAGATGCAAGGGGGTAAGAGACCATGTATAACTCTTACTTCAACAAATTGAATTACACATACAACATAAAGAACATGTCTATAGCAGAAAACTTCAAAATTTTCAACAAAAGAGAAGGCATACCCAGAATCCATCTTCATATGATGGGCATTGAAGAAGAAAATGGTTGATGGTACTAAGGTTATATCAAAATACTTGACATAAACTTGAACGTCCTCTGAATCAATATCAACTAAAGCCACAGTCGCAAACTTGGACACCTCTCTCACAGATTTATACAGCTGCAGTCAACAAGAAGCAATTAAGTAAGCAAACCACTCCAAAAAGGATAGTAAAAACTTATTCAGTGTTAAATTAATGACAACGGAGGGCAAATCCACCTATTCCATAGCTACCTATAGCTTTCAACTAAAACTATATATTAGTTGTAATTTCTAAAATATACTACCTATGTCTCAACTTTTCAGAACTATTACTATATGTGGAGCCAAATAACTTTTTTTCCTTCCTAAAATTTCCCAATCTTCTTTTAAATACTTTTCAACTATAAAAATTGTAACATGTAGTCAGAGGCAGAGTGTAGCCTATACTCAATGAGTTCAACTGAACTCACCATTTTCGACACGGAACATATAGCTTATGAACAAATAATTTCAGAACTGCAATAAGTTTAGTGCTAAGAATCCTAAAAATTGAACCTATTAAATTCAAATCATGGATCCACCTTTGCTTGTAATACTAGATAGTTAATGACTTAATCCTGTAGCATATAGAATTATACTAAGTTACACTCGTGGTCATAAATTAAAAACAAAAGGAGTATATTGAGGTGGTAAACCTTCCCCTAATGGCTTAAAATCCTCAATTGGCCTCTACTTGCCAAATATTCAATTCTCTAAAAAAAGAGTAGCGCTTCTTTCGATGAAAATTCAAAGGAACTGGAGCAGAATAGATTAGGAAGTAAGACTTACGATGTCGTCGAGCTGGAGACAAAAAGGATCAGAGGATCGGCCAAAGCGGAGGACGAGAACTTTGTCGATCGTGTCTCTAATTATAGAATCCACTTCTTGCTTCTTTGTTAGCGTCCTCAATATGTACTCCATCTTCCCTCTCTTTTTTCTTCTGCTTCAGAATACGGCCAAACTGTAACGTAACATTATATACATTAGAAATTTTGACCAAAGTGTATAATTTTGGCTTGAAAAATCCAGTAGTGTCACACCCCTTTTTTCACCTTAACCCCTCTTTAAAATAAATAAAGTGACTTCAAAGCTCAAAAGGGTTTTCAATCAAGAAAGTGACAAGAGTTGTGTTTCAAAAGATTTTTCAGAGTCGCCACTTGACATTTGGTTTCAGTGTGCCAAGTCACCGATCAAAAATAATTTTTCTTTCAAAACCAGTTTGACTCTAAAACTGACTGCACCAGAAATTCCGAGTAAGGTTGTTCATTTGACTCGGGGAGAAGGTGTTAGGCATTCCCCAAGTCCCTTGAAAGTCACGGTTGCGTACTTGATCTAGTTGGCTTTTTAAGATACTCGAGTTGAGGTTAAACACACAAAAGGAAAAATAAACACAAAAGAGGTTCAAGGTTGTCCCCCACCTAAAAGAAAAATCCAAATAAAAATAAAAATAAAAATAGGACAAAAGTACTAAAATTCTATACTATGCTTCCATGATGATGTCCCCAGAGGTGGATCCAGGATTTAGATTTTGTGGGTTCAACTTTAAGGTTTTTAACATTGAACCCATTGTATTTTTAAAGTTATGGGTTCAGACCTACCATTTGTTGCAATTTTTATGAATTTTTATACATAAAATTATGCTCCGCGACTAAAGTAGTGGGTTCAGATGAACTCGGTGGTCATACTCTACATCCGTCCTTGGATGTCCCGTCTTTTGGCCTCCAATTACACAATACTACGGAAATAAAAACATTTACTAGTTACTCGGGGCATTCTCCGGATAATATAATAAAGCAAAGGGACAACCTCTAACCTCGACTGAAATAAAGATCCTAGAGCTTGCCTACCCAGGTGACAACGGCCTAAGTATGCTACTAGCGGAGAAATAAAGAGCTAATAATAACTAAATAGAAATACTAAACATTAAACGCAATTCTATTTTCTTTCAATTTTCAATTTTCAATTCCACGGCCCTTTTGATTCAAACTTAACTAATGAAATAATGATCCAATCACTTTCTTTTAACAAGATTCCACCCCACACTACACAGCCCACACCAAATTAAGATTAATGATCCTTTCCTAAAATATTAACCAAGTTAAACAACTTAAAATCTACTTTTAACAAAAGAATACATAAACTAAATGATGAACTAATCAAACGGAAGCAGTTTTAATCAAGAACAAAAAGTAATAGGCAACCAAATCAAGATTCTATTCATAGCATCAGGAGAAACAGATCGTAAAATTGAAGAGCAAATAAAATTTGGAATTGGACCTTTATAGCTGCAATGTGTTTTCGAAACAATGGACAGAAAAACTCCAGGCCAAAGCTACGGTTGACGACCTCGACAGACCGGAAACTTCGACTGGAACCTTGACCCCAAGCTTAAACAGAAATTGAGCAATTCGCCAAAAATACCGAACAACAGCTCACATCGAAAGAGATGTACCAAGACCTTTACCCCATTAGCTATGAGTTCAGTTTTCAATTTACAAAGGGAAGCCAGCAAAGAAATTAGATCAAGGGAACTAAATATTTCTTTTTTTTTTCATTTTCTTGGTAGAGTATTTAGAGTAGTTTTATTTGGTAAAAGAAGATGAGAGCTTAAAGGTGAAAATGAGCAGTGAAGTTATGGCTGGAGAGGAAAGTGAAGTGCGGCGGACATGGAGTTTCGACGGAAAAAGATGGAGGGACTGATGGGTCTTTGGTGGAGGAGAAAGAATTAAGTGGAGAAGAGATTGAGTTTATACGGTGGTGGTTTCGTGGTTGAGATGCGGCGGTGAAATCAGAAGATTTTCTAAAACTTCCTCTCTCTGTCCGTTCTCCCCTCTATTTCCTCTGTTTTTGCTCTTGTGCTTGGAGAGGAAGAAAGATATTTGCTAGCAAAAACCTTTCCATCTCTTTTCATTTTTAAACAAAAATAGCCAAGTAGAATACTACTACTTGTTATGAAAATAATTATATTATGGATGTTCATTTATTACTCCGCTATAGATAATCTTCCTGAAGAAGATTATCCATTTAGTACTCTGTTGAAGTTTATCTACAAGCAGCTGATACAGGCAGGTTGCAAGCAGCTCAATGAAATGATTTGCAGCAGTTTCTTATTAAACAGGCAGGTCGCAAGCAGCTCATGCAGACAGCTTACAAGCAGCTAAAGAAAAGCCTTGCAAATGCTTCCAGAAAAGCCTCGCAGCTGCTTCCTTTCTTCTATAAATAGAGGAGTTTTCAGTTCATTATGTACATGAATTTGAAGTTGAATAATATATCAGTTTCTCTCTATACTTGTCTTCAGTTTATCTACTTTATAGTATTTATTTTATAACACTACTCAAGTACTCATCTGAAGTTTTTTTTAAAAAAAGATTAACATTACTATATTAAAGAAGTATAACATATTACTCAATGTTTACTAGATATTTACAGTGCAACTTAAAATCAAGCTAAACCAAGTGAAAAATATATATTTTTTGAAACTTTTTTTTTATCTTTTGTAAAAATAAAATAAAACTATCTAGACAAAATACCAATAAGGTAAAAATAAGGAAAAATATTTTTGTTGTTTTTAATTTTAAGATAATATAAAGCAAAAAAATTGAAAAACAAATAGTGAAAATAGTATTATTATACCTGAAAGAAATATATAAGCACTAAGATGCGTAAAATCTTGGGCAATGTCAAAAATTAAATGTCTAGAAGTAGTGTGTAGTTGTTGCCAAAAATAGGCAAATCGCAGCTCCGAAAGTAAAATTGAGGTAACAGAAGGTTAGTAACACGCCGTTTGCAGTTTGTTTATGAAAAACTCATTTGAAAAATGATACTCTAAATGCACCTTATAAGAGTGAGCTTAAACCAGTAAAGAGGAAGAAACACTTGGAATTATAATATGTCTACATCTAGTACTAAGAAATACTACTTCATTAGGTTTTGCACAAGTATTTCTGTCCTAATGAAGCCAGAAAATTAACGAAAATGCAAATATAATAGAGGCTTGAAAATTAAGTCCATTGCCATACCTGTTCACTGTTAGGGATTTTTCGATGATACCGCAAAGCCTGGGATGAGGTTGAATGTTTAGATAATCTTTGATAAAGAGAGCAACGCGAAGCCGCCGACGATGGCGAACTCCTCCGCCGAAGAGGATTTTGATGGGAAAACTTGAATTTGTATTAGCAATCTGAATGTAGAGATTATTCTGGACAAAGAGCACCACGAATCCGTCGGAGTTGGCGGCCGGAGGGTTTTTTATCGGGAAATAGAGGATGGGTAGCACATCTAATTCTAATTCGAAAATGTGAATTAAAAAAAATATATATGTGACTCACACCTCGTATAAAAAATATAATTTGAAGTATTTGGCCAAAATAAAAAGTGTATTAAAGTAGAAGTAGCAGTTTAAAATTAATTATTTAAGACAAAAACTTCCTTATCAAAAAAATTATATTTACCAAACTATATATTACTAATTTAACTCATATATCTCTCAAATATAAATACGAGCTTTTCTCATCTTTTTTTTCCTGTTTAACTATATTATATTGATTAAAATTTTAATATTATGTCTTTATTTTATGTTTTAGATTTAAACTAGCATATAAAAATAAAAACTTAACTAAAACCTTTAAAAAAAGATATTTAAAATTATTTCTCTATTTAGTAATAGTACTAGTTATAAAATAAACCTTAATATTATTTTCTTGTAATTTAATATTCAAAAATATTTCTTACGGAAAGCTTGACCAAACAAAATATGTTTATCAAATCAAATAATAAAAAATACTTCTCAAACTATACATTAGTGAAATTAGAGGATATTTAGCCAAAAAGTGCACACAGTTTAAAAGAAATATAACAAATTCTTAACATAAAATCCAATATTACAGTTGTGATTGGAAAATATTTATATTTGTAGCACACAGTTCGATTAAAATAGGAATATTAATTACTAATCCCTAAACATAAGCAATTTGAAGTGGAAAGTCAATAATTCTTTGTACAAAAATCATGTCTTTCTTTTCTTCTCTTTATCTATTAGCTTACCTTCTTTTTCTTCATCTTCTTAATTTTATTTTCTGCCGAAACCAATATATTTTCTAAATTTGTTCCATTCGTTTTCTTTTTAATTATCTTTCTTAAGTTTTTTTTCTTCCTTCTTTCTTCCTTTCTTAACATAAAGATCTTACTTCGATAATAATATACGTTAATATATACAAAACGTATATATAAAAAATATACATTGAATTAACACATATAAAATATACAAAAAATATATTAAAAAAATACATCTTCAATTAAGATGACACTTAGACATGTGAAATATACATAAAAATATATATCTTAAATTTAATTAAGATGGCATATAAATATACAAAAAGAACATATAAAAAAATACATTATGGATTAAAATGGCACTTGATATATAAAATGTATTTGAAATATACATTAAAAATACATCTTAAAATAATATGGCACTTCACAAATAAATATATAAAAATTATATACATAAAAATATATTTTGAGTTAAAGTAATACTTGATATACAAAGTATAAAAGACGTATAAATCAATACATCTTGAATTTAGGTGGCATTCAAATATGCATCAGATTTTCAAAAATGGAGTGAAGAAGATGAATGTTGGAAAGGGAGAATGGAGATGGACAAAAAAAACTACTTTTTATGATTGATGAGTCAGTTAACTTATTAAATGTTGAGCTTAATTTTTATAATATGCTAATAATAAAAAAAAATGCTCTTTATGAAATAAACAATAAATGATGTCATTCTTTTAAATAATAGTTAAAAAATGATTAAGAGGGCAAAGAACTCCATTTTTATTTTGTTTTAGTGAAAAATTCATCTATGTACGTAGGGCGAGGGCTTTGCCGGGCGGGTAACTGTTCTGCGCAAATTTAGGTAACTCCGCACATTAGTTTTACTCTTACTATTATTTGAGAAGATTACGTAACTTTTGGCATTAACTTACAAAAATAAATAAAATATTATCCTAAATACCTTTTGAAGAAAACACCCACTACTTCGCTAATATGCTTATCTTTTCTACCCTGAGACTTGAGTTTAAGTGATGCATGGATTGAGTAAATTTTGTACACTAAATGTCTAAGTTAACATTGTTTGACCAAAAAATGTATGACTTGATTAAACTAATTAATTTAGTATGACGAAGGGCTAAACCTAGTTAATGATAATAACTTCATATCTATAATTGATTAACATAAATAGCGCAAGAACATTGTTGAGAGAAGATTAATAGTCTGTTTGGCCAAGCCGGAGAAATCAGCTTATTTTGAGAAGTATTTTTTTTAAAAGTGCTTTTGAAAAAAATACTTTTGCAGAGAAGCAGTTTGTGTTTGGCTAATCACTCTGAAAAACTCTTTTGAACAATAATTTGTGTTTGGCCAAGTTTTTCAGAAAGTGCTTTTAAGTATCAAATTACGAATAAGGAAATGAATAGATTTGCTTAATAGTTAATATTATAAGTAAATAAATAATTTTAAAAATTTGTTATTACAGGCAATAATTAAATCTTTTCATTTTATTTAAGTAAAATATGAAAATAAAATTTAAAACTACTTAATTCTTTTAATATAAGTTAAATATATTAAAAATCATTCAACAAATATAAAAGCATTCACCCCTAAAGTCACTATATATTAGAAAGTTATCCTAAAAATAATAAAAAATATTTATACATTAATATCCTAAGTATTAAGTTTAACGGTTATTTTGGTATATACTATATTTTTGTTAAGGGTATTTCTGGTAAGAAAAAAAGTCAAAAGTGCTCCTACTTTTACTTTTGGGAAGAAACTACTTTTTTCTGCTTCTCAGAAACTGTTTCTACTTTTTCCCAAAAAGTAATTTTTTCCCCCAAAAAAGCTTGGCCAAACACCTCAAGTTAGGGGGGGAAAGTACTTTTGAGGGAAAAAAATATCTTTCCCTCTTGAGAAGCTTGACCAAACAGGACATAAATGTGATGTACATTCAATGTACATAGATCATTAATGATGGGGGATATCAAGCAATAAATAATTGATAAATGACATTAAAGTAAATAAGGAGAATGATTCACCCAATATTGAATGAGGTGGATGATTCCTCCTTCTGACAATGATGAATGATAGACAAATACTAAAATGTTGGGATCCTTCTCGGATCTAACGGAAAAAGTATGGAATAGTAGACAATCAAATCTCTTTAGAAAGGTAGTGATGTCTTTAATCTAGAGAGAAAGTCTGCTTTTTAAAGAATGTTCTTATTAGAGAATATTAAATACCTATCCCACTATCTCTTTTTCTATTTATATGGGACATTCCTCACTGAACCCTAAAAGTACATACACCAAGAATATTCAATAGAATATTCTCCTCAATATTCTATTATAAAAACTAGCCGTTAGCACTGCCTTTGATACTCGACCTCGGCCGTTATTGACTACTCGGCTAAGAGCCCCGTTATCTACTAATCGACCTCGACCATATCTCTTTCCACGATACTGCTTCACGCTAAATCCCACTGAGGTAGATTTTGACCCATACAGTTAGTCCCTCCGTTTATTGATGTCGACCCTTGGCGACCTTGATGAGCGGATTCTGTCAATTAGGGTCAGGTTTTATGCGAGCAGGTCGAGTAGTAGCGCTTCGGACGGGAAGGAAACATGGCCTTCCGTGAGCCACAACCTAGGGTCACGTCGTTTCAGAGTGACGTCATGTCATCATACGTTATTATTACGCATTTTTCCGATACCCTGTATCATTTCCCGCGCCTCTGCCTTTTCGATTCTTGAGCTGGGCAACTGTGGTTTGCTTCCTCGATATTGATGCACCAACTCTTATAAATGGGGATACTTAATCCTTCGATTCATTCTTTGCCTTCTAAGAATCGGATTTCCATATCTTCTTCTTCCTCAATTAGAATCTCTGCTTTCTTGACCTTACTTCATACTCCTGCCTTCANGAAGGTGAAAGCTTTCCTACGGTGGAGGAAATAATTCTCCGTAGCGAGAAGGCTAGAAATGACTTCTCAAAGCTGCCCGAGGATGACCCTGAGGCCGTAGAGTCTGAGACGGACACGACGACTCTTGCTAATTTCAGGGCGAAGTTCAAAATTCCAGTCCACATCGATCTGGTCCCGGCTGGACGCGATGTGGTGCAGATTCATCGCCCTAGATATTGCGCGTTCTACGCATATCCATTCTACGTGGGCTACTCTTTTCCCATTCTCCCATTGGCAGAGGAATTCTGCCGCTACTACGGCGTCTGCCCGGCTCAACTTTCTCCTTATATCTACAAGTTCATCCTCATGCTGACGAAGTACGTAGAATTGGCTGGCCGCGGGGTCTCTCTTCGCTACCTGATGCACCTTTTCGAGCCGAGTTTCCATAGAGGGACAATGTTTCACCTTCGTCATCGTGGAGGCAAAAGCTTGGTAGTAAAGATGGACAATAAAGCACATAGTCAATTCTGGTTTAATTACTTCTACATCAAGATTGAGGACGTGGTGGCGAACGCAAATGGATTTCCTAAGGCGTGGAATTACGCCCATAAGTATTTTCACTAAGTGCTCATTTTGCTCATTATGGTCGTAGTCTAACCGTTCTGTCTTTTTCTCCAGCTGAGACCGAGCCCCCTCATTTGGTCACAGATATTTACGAATGGGTTAGCCAGATCTTTCCCCACACAGTGGGGATCCGTGGGTGGCAGGCCTTTTTCCAAAAGTTCGGGCCCAAGCTTTCAGCGACCGATGAGTTTGTTTGTCCATATAGTGACTTTTTACGTATGCTGTCCTGACCTTGTGGTCGCGTGTTCGTCATAACTTTGAGAGTCTCCGTTCTAATCACTTTTGCAGGCTAAAGGTCTTCGAAGAGGCAAAAAGCTTATGCTCCGACATTCCGTAAGAGGAAGGCCATTTGTGTTCCTACTACTGTGGTGAGACCTGCTTGGTCGTCGACTACTGCGGCGGGTGTTTCCACTTCTCCTCTACGTCTAGTTGACGAGGACGATGAGGAAGGATCGTCGTCGATTGATGATAATCTGCTTCCCCGCAAGAGGCGATTTGTCGGTATCGCCGAGGGAAGTGTCCACGTGGGAAGTTCGGTGATGGATGGATTTGTCATCAGAGAAATGACGACCATAGATCTCAGAGTTGGTACCGAGCTGCTGTCTATGATCCCATCGCCGTCGGGGGCCGAGGGATGTACGTTGCTCCTTGAGGTCGAAATGGGTATTGAAGGGTCGTCGACGCAAGTCCCTGATGCC